AACAGAACTTTTCAAGTAGGTGACAAAGTACTTATGAAAATAAATATAAGGCTAGGAAACAAACTAACACCCCTGTACGAGGAAGTTACAATAGAAGCCGACTTGGAAACAACGGTTCTGATAAGTGGAAGGGAGGTCCATAAGGACAATATACGATGAGCTTTCATTTCATTTATTATTATTTTTCATTTATTCTATTTAGGTTTCTGCCTATGCTGCTTTTTGTTACAATAACAACTGCCAAGCTAACCGACTACTCGAATTCTGATTATATCCCACTACTAGACGGAAACGCAATCATCTGGAAGAATTTTAAGTATCTCAGACAGAAATAGCCGAGGAAACACAACTTCTCATGAAACATTTTCTCCAGTCCCATATGAAACAAATACTAGAATCTGACATAGGTCATATAAAAACATTTTTAGAAACTGTTAACATTCATCATAGACATACAAGAAGTATAAATATTCTGGGAACAGCTCTGAAGATAGTTGCTGGGACCCCCGATTTCGACGATTTCGAGAAAATAAAGTACAATCAACAAAGTTTAGTTGAATCGATAAACAGACAGGTAGTTATTAACACTCGAGTACAAGAAAAAATAAGTAAATTAACTGAAACTGTAAATCTGATTGTCAGGGATACGAAGAAAAAACAAATCGAAACTGGCCACCTCTACGAAACATTACTCGCAAGGGATAGAATTTTAATTTCGGAACTTGAGACATTAATGCTGTCTGTTACACTTGCTAAGATTCAAATTATTAACCCCGCTATTCCTGATTCTAAAGATTCAGAGAAAATGTTAAATTAGCACTATTAGCATTATTACAATAACAGATTTAATGGAAGTAGCATATGTCAATGTTGTATTAGATAATAATTTTCTGCACTTTATAATTAAATATCCTGATCCTAGCTTAGTCTGTAAAAAGATCACCCTGTTTCCTGTACAACACAATGGTACAATACTACATTTTGCTGAAGATAATAATGTCGCAGACTGTGGCAATAAAGTCCTGCCAATCGGAAATTGCACCGCTACTCTCACGTCAACATTTTGCAAGGAGCTATCCTCCGCGACATGTGCGCAACAACTCCACTCCGGTGGCACCGCACACTACAGCACTCGTCCCAGTCATCTTAAAACTCTAGAGGTTTTGGACGACGGTATCATCATAATAAATGAGGGAACTGCCGAAATAAAAATTGACAATACTTGTAGTACAAAACAAGAGAGAACGCTACAGTCGAGCAAGCCCGACAGTGCAATACCCTGTACCCAGGTAAACTTCCGTCACTGAATTATATGCGCCCAAAAATAGGAAGAAGAAGAGCGAACTTGTTGCTGCAGTTTGGGGGGGTTGTACTGTAGAGAATTTGTTTCGCTAATAACTTTTCTTAGAATTGACCGAATTGAATAAAACAACAATTTAAACAACAGTAGATAATTACATATAAATTATGTGTGCAAAGTTTGGTTCAGGTAGCATTTGAAATGTGGACGTTATTGACGCTATTCTGTAGCGATGGAAGAGGGGGGAAGGGGGGGAAAATTCCAAAAAATAAAATAAACTCGTCCTTTCTCGGACCTAGGAGAAACTGGATGCCAACTTTGGCTATTCTAGCTTTTATAGTTTCTGAATATCACTGGTCACCAAGAAATTTTGATCCTGCCATATCTGCAAGGGTTAAACATTGAAAATCTGCGGTACATTGGGGACATAGAGGATAAGCTGACAACAAGACCGGCGATGTTCAGCGCATCCATTCTTTTCATCATAGCTATTGGAGTCCTTCTTTTGAAGCTGTACCAGAAACGGAGAAGGGCTAGCCGCCAATCTTTCCTGCAGATTGTTATCGAGAGTCTGAGGAAAACCGAGGACGGCCTTCAACTTAGCGAGGGAGGAGTTAACACATCCGGCCGGTCATAAGTCAATGACCGCTCGATCACGCAGAATAAGAACGATTTTGGGCATGATCATCAATCTAAGCGTACGGCTCGTGCACGCGCACAGTAGCATAGTCGCGCGTCAGCGACTACAGGGCACTCACCCTCCACTTGCACTTGAAGAAAGTGTAATACCAGCAAATATGGGTCACAGGGCTAGCTTTCATTTTAAGAACTTTTCTGTACGTAGAGTTAGTTGATTTTTGGAAATAAACCGCGTCGGTCATCGCCACGTGAAAGCATTAAACACATGCCCATCTCTAGCATCTCAGCTGATCGCATATTTACAGCGACTTACCGTTTTAGTGTTAGCTAACAACGCTACAAATGTATTCTGAACAAATCGAAGAGTCATTTACCGTTAAGCCTATTTTGTGAGTGTATTCATGCGATTTACAAAAGCAGAAACACACCTTTTACATTCAGAACAATCATATTTGGAATTGAAGCCAAAAATTAGTGTTGAATTAAAAAATTTAATACATACTTGTTTATGTATGTATTACGTCCAGATTTATAAATCAAAATCAAATGTCCCGCGTCGGACTTTTCTGGGATAACTCGACCGTGCGTACAACATGCTGAGGAAGCACACAGTTAAGTCAGGACTGGCAGTCCGCCCGGTGAGTAACGAAGATATGTACACATGTATGTATGTACGTATAACCATACATAGTACTTATTGTACTATATTTGCTATTTGGAAAATGAACTCTTTAAAAAACTTTAGAGAGCGTCGAAAGAAGAATATCATATCTATACTATATATATAAAACAGTTTGTCCTGACTGACTGACTGACTGATTGGTGATCAACGCACAGCCCAAACGGTAAAGGCTAGGAAGCTGAAATTTGGACTCAAGTATCCTTTCATAGTCTAGGTGCCCACTAAGAAGGGATTTTAGAAAACTCGAGCTCCAAAGGGGGGAAAACAGGCTCCAACGTTTGTATGAAAAATCTACAGTTTTCATCTGATTAACTTCAAACTTACTTTGTATACTCTCAGAACAATTCCAAGAAAAACTGTATACTTGGTTTTTTGGTATTTTTTTGGGCCCTAAATTATGGGAGTTTTCCTGTAAAAAAATGTTGGGGCACAAAAGGAAACCGCGTCAACAGCCCACAGCCCACACGGTAAAAGCTAGGATGAAATCTGGGCTCAAGTATCCTATCATGGTGTAGATGCGCACTAAGAAGGGATTTTGGAAAATTCGAGCTCCAAAGGGGGAAAACGAGCTCCAAAGTTTGTTTAAAAATTCTGCACTTCTGCACCGATCAACTTTAAATTTGATTTTTATAATCTATAAAACAATACAAACAAAATTGCATACTAAGATTTTCGAAATTTCTGTTGGAGCTTGAATTATTGGGGTTTTAATATTTATTCACTATTTCAAATGAAAAGTTTGTGTTATAAATTTAGTCCGATCGATTTTAAATTTGGGTAATGTAATCTACGTAACTAAATCTACAACTTTGCATTCAAGGATTTTCAAAATATGTATGCATTTTACAAAAGCAGGTAGAACAAACAATACAAAATATCAAACAGTTGGGCACAACTAAGTATACATACACACACACACACACATGCAAGCAGCTGTTCGTGTAGTTGAGTGCAAACGATTGAAATAGCCAAAGCAAAATGTGAGACACTAATGTGTGAATGTCTATACATATGCGCACATCTATGTATGTACATTTGTATCTACATATGTATGTATGCACATTCGTCTTGCACTGACAGAGCAAGAAATGTTAATTAATTGAAAATTATATAACATTTTAAACATCAAATAGTTGGGGACATCACATACACACACTCGCACACACACAACAAGCAACAGTTCGTGTCTATGTGTGCGGTTCTCTACGTACGATTGAAAAAGTAAAGAGAAACATACATATGTATGTATGTATGTATGCCTGTGTATAAATATAGCATGCATGTACATTCGTATTAATGTATATACAAGTAGTACATTGGGCAATCGAACACAGTTGTTTGATTGTAAAAAAAATAATGCTCTAAAAACAACAACAACTGCAAGTCATTGGCTCGCTCTTCTTCTTTCGTTTTGACCAAAAGTTTACAGTTACCGTCGCTAGGCAACGACTGCGTAAGCGATAGTAAAGCAGAAACCGAATAACGGAGCTACGCATATTCTGCTCCGCATTGCGGGCAGATGTATGTATGTATATGATTTGTTCTTATTGATCTCAATAAATAATTAGATTTTATTATTTAAATATTCTGCTTATTGCATTCAAACTTCGATATTTTGATGGTATCGGTGGCTTCAACTATCGAAAGTTTTACTCTAGCATAATTGTCAGTGCTTTTTGATCGTGGCTCATCGCTGCACGGCATTGACACGAGTGCCGTGTTTCATATTCCGAGTTTGTGCGTGACCGTATTGACTCAATATGGCACGAAAAGACTCAAATGTGAATTTAAAATTAGGATATACTCTTATAATTATTCCCCTTTTTTGCACATAGTCTATCTTAAAACGTTGCGTTATCTCTATATATAAAACAGTTTGTATTCTTAAGTATTCTTTCATAGTATCAAGTATCATAGTGTGGGAGCACACTAAGAAAGGCTTTTGGAAAATTCTAGCTCCAAAGGGGGGAAAACGAGCTTTAAAAATATTAGTTATAGTGGTCATGTTCGTTTAACGAAATAGTTTGGCAAGAACAAAAATGTAACGGACTACTAAACAATGTTTTGTCAGGAACAGAAAATGTTCATTTAAATACCTTAAATGCCTTTCTACTGGTAACTTATAAGGTGAAAACATATGGGTAGATTATGCACACACGAAATAAGTACAATTGGAAACATTATATTGAGCCGGGTTAAGACGGGCAATACCTGCTAGTAGTAAATAAACTTATAATTATAAGCACATTTTAGTTAGTCAAGCAAAGACGGGCAAACCTGCTAGTATATCATACTTGTAAGACATACGAGTACATCATAAGAGTACGAGTAATAAGGCATTATCCCATTAATTCTAATTAAATTAAAATTTGTTTACAGATCCAAGCAACTTTATGAGATAATGTACAATCGTATTAATGGAGACTTATTTATGTGGGAACCGAGATCACCTTTATTTAAGACGCATGAGGTTCGATCGCATACTGAATACAATTCATCTGATGACTGTGAGCCAAAAAAAGTGTGTCATAGTCCTAATGGAAGTCTTTTAAACAAAAGTATTTACTTTTCATTAGACAGCAACAAATCTTTAATGGAAAAATTAGTTAAAAAATCTAAAAATAACTGTGCGCTGAAATTAGTTATTGATGAAATGAAACTAATTATGTGTACACAAGTTCGGGATATCGAAACTCATGTACATCCTAGTCAATCAGGAAAATTTCAGTTCGAACTAAAAGAACTACAGCTTTTTATTGTGATGGGATTTAATGGTGACAAAAATCTTAATTATATATGCATTCAATTGAATGAAATGAATATCCTTCATTGTGGTAAGAAAGCTTAAATTTGTAAAATAATATAATTTGGCATTTGTCATATTTTTAGGCCTTGTACCAACATCTTCATCTACCGCTTGGTCTGACGAAGTTGATGAAAATATTTACCAAATAATCCATAATATTCCAAAATTGCATCAGATTTCGAATAAACGGAAAGAAACTATAGCGGTTGCAGCTGAAATAAAAAAATATCCAAAACAGAATTTGAAGGTAATAAATATAATAGTTATAAGAAAAATGTGCCTTGTGGCCTTATATACGTGTATGTATAGTTTTATGCTTATAAACTTTACATATTGTACATTGTAGTGTCGTGATTAGAAAGAAGCTACTTATTCAAATCAAATATTAATTTTGAGACTTTTTTTACCCTAGGAAATATATTTTCTCCTAAATTTTGTATATTTTGAAATTGAAATTGAAAAGATGAAATAATTTGAAGAAGATAATTAAACAGAATGCATCTTTTTGGGGGACATCGAGGACACAAACGAAGTAATGGACCAGAAAAACGCCATCAGAAAAACATATACAAGTATTTGGAATAAACAAACCAAGAAATGTTCTAGTAAACAAAACTTAAGAAAAAACTGATAACAAAAAATTGAGAGGAATGGGAGGTATCATAAATGACCAATAGTTCAAAAATAGCTAACTCCAACTGAAAGAGCTCCGATGTATGTAATCAGCTTACAAACTTAAAGTGGGCCTATTAATATATGTTTTGCAAAGTGAGTTGCAGTTACGTAGAAGGGGCAAATGCTCTTTCGAAGTATCAACGTCTAAAAGCGGAAGGCTATGATTCTACAATGTTGATAACACTCTTCATTTATTTATTGAATCTCCGCTTATTTTATTAAGAGACTAAAAATAATTTAATTTTTACCGTTTAGCGCTTCTTGCTTCGCAGAGCAAGGTACAATTTGTATATATGAATAATTATGCGTCTCCTGCGGACGACTGCGCTGCCTGCGCCTGCTGCTTGACCAAACATCCTCCCCCCGTTGGAAGGCACGGGCTTCCAACCTCATCCTCTTTTGGCAGTGCACACAATTTGGCGCACTCTTGCTAATGGCCACTTTAGAGGAGGCAAGTTTTCGTCCTTGACGAGAACCACGTCGTTGACAGCGACTCCAGGGCATGGAGTACGCCATTTTGAACGTTCTTGCAGTAAAGTGAGGTACTCTTCGCGCCAACGATTCCAGAACAGCTGTTGCAGATAGGTGACTCGCTGCCAACGGCCCAAACGATCGTAATTGAGCTTGGTAACATCAGGCTCAATATATGATGTAAGCGGTGCCGTACCCAGGAAGTGAGCGGGAGTCAGCACGTCAAGGTCTGAAGGATGCTCTGAAAGTGAAAGTAATGGTCGAGAATTATTTATAGCGCCGGTCTGGCAAACCAAGGTGCGCATCTCGTCGAAGTCGAGTATTGCAGAGGCGACAGCACGGTAAAAATGATGCTTTGCCGTCTTCACCGCCGCTTCCCAAAGTCCGCCAAAGTGTGGTGAACGAGGAGGTATAAATCGCCAGCCAATCGAATCTGCACCGCCTGTACATGCTCAGCACTCAGGAACAGACGCTTTAAATCTGGCAATTCATTTTTGGCGCCAACGAAGTTAGTCGCATTATCGGACCATATCCGAGCGGGTCGACCACGCGTGGAGATAAAGCGTTTTAAAGCACCAAGAAAAGCATCTGTGGACAGGTCCTTGACGAGCTCTAGATGCACAGCCTTTGTCGCGAAGCATATGTAGACGCTGATGTAGCATTTTATAGCTGCCCTGTTGCGAACTTCACTCCGGTAGAAAAATGGGCCGCAGTAGTCAACGCCAGTGACCATAAACGTATACGACGAATCCACTCGATCGCCAGGTAAGTCGGCCATCAGATGCTCAACCAAGCGTGGCTTGGCTCTGAAGCAAACTGTGCACTTGCTGGCAGCAGCCGCAACCGTCTTTCGGCCGCCTATGGGCCAGTATTGTAGACGAATCGAGGCCAACAACGCACGTGGCCCAGCATGTAAGCTGCGAATGTGGTGATGATAAATAAGCGCTCTTGTCACAGGATGCTGCCTGGGTAAAATTGTTGGATGCTTGGCTGCGAAATCCAACGGAGAATTTTTCAGCCGTCCGCCTACGCGCAGCAATCCAACCTCATCAATAAATGGCGCGAGCGAGGCCAGGGAACTGGAGGGTCTCTCTCGCTGTCCCGCCCGTAGCGCCTTGTAGTCTTCGAAAAGCGTTGATAATTGAATGGAACGTAGCAGAATGTGAGTTCCATAATGTAGGCAAGCCAGTGTTAGGCCAGAGCACCGGATACGATGAATAAATTTGTAGACGAAACCAAAAACCCTTTGTAACTTGTAGAAAGAGTTTACGAACTTGCAGCCTGCCGAAACATCTGTGTAGCATGCCGCTCCAATCAGCACCTTTTGACGAAGTTCAGGCAGCGACTGTACAGACAAGCAGGATTCATTTGCTTTTGCTTTCTGTAAGAAATTTGGGTCCATGAGCCCACAACGAAGATTCCAAAAGTTCACCGGGCAGAGCCCCTCTAGATAAAATGTCTGCCGGATTTAAATTCGTTGGCACGTATTTCCACTCCATTGCAGATGTCAGCTCCTGAGTTGTGGCTACACGATTGGAGACGAATATCTTGAAGCTCGAAGACTCGCTGCGAAGCCAAGATAATACGACGGATGAGTCAGACCAGCAATAGCAGGGACCACAGAATATCTTAATCTTGGCCACTTCATGCATAAGCTGCGATTTAGCGCAAAGAAGTTGCACCGTCGTTTTTCCCTGAGCTGTAGAGACTATGAAGACGCAGGCTCCATAAGCGCTCATGCTGGCATCGCTGAAGCCATGGACTTCAATAGTTGTGTTAGGAATGAGCACCAGCCGTGGAAAAGTGAGCTTTGACACACGTTAAAAATTTGAGCAGAAACCAATCCAAGTGGTTGCTAACGCCGCCGGAAGACTCTCATCCCACTCCAGCTTCGCCTTCCAGAGATCCTGCATAAATATTTGAGAATTGGTTATTACCGGACAAGCAAGACCAAGCGGGTCGTAGCAATGTGTTAAAGAGCTTGCTTTTAATGGTGGGACCTGCCATCAAAACTTCGTGCAATGAGTAGCCAGAAGTTGTTGCCGCAGATCCATCAAACACAACTCTGAGCTTCGTAGTTGTACTATCCTCCTTTAAGACGCAATGATGCGGTAGATAGTACTTGTATTTATGCGCTTCGCACTCCAACTCCTCCTTGGTAGGCAGCATATCCATGTCGACGCAGCTCTCCAGCTCCCAGAATCTGTGTATGAGCCTTTCTATGCGAATATTCGACTCTGTTTCCTCATCTGCTACAGACTGAAATGAAACGAGAGCCGATTTACGGATTTGTGAACCACCTCCTGTTATGATCCATCCCAGGCGAGTCTTCTGAATCACCGGCAATCCGGGACCCAGTTTGATCTGCCCAACGCAGAGCAGTTCGAAGAACAGGCTGGCGCCGATCAGTATGTCATTTTGTTGCGGCCTATTGAAGCTAGGATCAGCCAAACGGATATTAGATAGAATTTTCCAATGCGTCGTACCGAAATTAATGTTGGGCTTGTTGTCCGTGATATTCGGAGCCACCAACGCCGAAATGTTGGTTGAATAATCTGACGACCGAGACTCCAGACTAATGTCAACTGCGAATCCATTCGAAATGAAATTTGCCTCGCCAAGGCCAGAGACGCAAGTTGCTGTTTTGTTTTACTTTGCGCAATTGAAGCTGATGAGCAAGTCGAGAAGTAACTATATGCACCTGCGATCTAGAATCGAGCAAGGCACGACTGAGATTCTGGGCTGAAATGGGCGGTTGCGGAGATGTGGCAGTCATGACGCTTGGAAATGACGACGATGTTGGCAATTGCGTTACTGCTTGCTGAGAGGAATCAGAAGCTTGGGCATCAGATGCAAACACGTGCGCTACGGATCCTTCAAAATGCAGAAGACTGTGATGCCTTGCACTGCAGACTCTACAGGATCGAGTCTTGCAGGTTCTATATTGATGGCCCTTTTGGATACAATTGAGACAGAGGGAAAGCTTTCTGGCCTCCTTATGGCGCAGAACTGACGACAGATTTGCGAATTAGGAGCAGGTGTGTATTGAATGGCCCGTGGCATCACAAAATACACAGACTTTCGTACTAGGGTTAGTAGCAACAAAAGACCTTCTATTGTCGTTAGTATTTTTGCTACTCTTTCCCACCTGTGATCCAGAATTGTACACTGCGGTAGCCTGTTCCATATTTTCCAACTTCTGACATCGCTTTTCCAGAAATGATGTGAACTGTTTTAAGCTTCGGAACCGTGTCAAATGGGACAGTTTCTTCCCATTTGGTCTGAGTCGCATTGTCCAATCTCTGCACCAGCGTATGGATGATGACACAATCGGCGATCTGCTCCGAATTTCATAGAGCAATGGATTCATCATCCATTGTTATCAAACCTTTATTGAAGTATGATCTTTTAGAAGAGCCGACTGTGGCACCATGAATGGATGTGAGTACTACGGAAGATTTCGATTCCACCAATGATTACGAAAATATGAAAGCATATTTGTTTGAAGAAGAAGAATATTAATAAACTTCCTTTTTTGGAAAAATATTTTACCTACAAGTTAAGAGATGCCCCTGCTTCGCAAGGGTATTTTTACAAAAATTTTAAAAATTAACACACATACACCCTTCTTTTTGCTATGAATTACTAAGAAGGTTTAAAATTTATTTTGGATATTATTATTTTAATTATTTTTTTATTCGTTTTTAGAATTTTTTGTTATTCTTTATTAGGTTACAGGTTAGCTGTAAAATATATTTGATGTTTTATTTTGTGGTAGCAAAATAAATTGATTTTCAGGAGCTCCGACCCGTGATAGGTCAACATACCGTAAAACAATGCTTTCGTATGTCGATCCTTACTAATTCGAAGGTTTGGCCTTAGGATTACCGGAAATTGAAGCCATAAAAATGATCAAATGGGATCATCGATATCCTCGATATCCCCATTATATGAGCTAGTTGACCAGTTGCTGGGCCGTTGATAGTAGTTGCTGCACTTAAATTGTCCTGCAATTCCTTAATAAGCAGCCTCGTCCCATTGCACATGTTTGGAAGGTTTTAATTTCTTAAAACTATGATTGCAATTTCTAATTTTACCGTC